TAGTATCTGCAAGGCTTACAGACCACAAGTTTAAAAAGAAAACTATGAATGCTACCCCTCTTCTAATTTTCATACTTTTCATGCTATAACCATTACTTTTTATAACAGAAAGCATAAAATAAATTTTAAAGAAACATCCATTCCTTGTATGTCATCTTTGACTTTAATTTAGGTAGTCTCTACTTTTTCTAAATAGGCAGACCAAGATTGTCCACGGTTGCACATGGTCAAGCTTAACAGCAAAAACCACTTTTCATCTCTTTATCAGCTACTGCTATGCACACACTTTTAGAAAGCCACTATACTAGAACAACTACGACCTTAAATAGAAACTAGCCAAGAGTAACTAATCAGGGCACAAGCATGGCAAATGAGAGACCAAGCTGAGAGGAACAATGGATGGCACAACACCTCTGCGTGGTCAGCCAGCTTTCAATAAGGACCTTGAATGGGCAAGGTCAGACGTATCTCACGGGAGGGATGTATTTTATCTCCTCAGCCTTTGGTGCCACCAGGTTGGAGACTGTGAACAGAGAGAACTAGGTCGCAGCTTCCTAGGTCCACCTCTAGCATCCTCTAGAGACAGAGATGTATTTCCATGCTTCACGAAACACCAAAGTCCAGAAAGCACTGGTGTAAGGTACACCTCTGGACCACTGGTCAAAAGGTAGATAAAAGTATGAGGCGACAGAACAAAGGAATTTCTTAGAAATGCCTGTCAGAGGCTGGGTGTGGCAGCAGGCTTGTAATTTTGGCATCAGAAGACTGATTCAGGAAGACAAGAGTTCAAGGCCAGTCTGGGTGATACAGTGAGCTCTAGGATGGCGTGGGCTCCATATTGGTAAGCATCCTGTTTCAAAAATAAAAAAAGTAAGATGGTTTGGAAAAAATAATTACTATCCACAACCAACATTATAGGGTTATAGGATTCTCTTTTTAAAAAATGGGGTCCCACTATGCAGCCCTAGCTAGCCTGGAGTTCACGGTGGAGACCAACTAGGCTGGCTGCCTCTGCCTCCTTAGTGCTGGGATTGAAGGTGTCACCACACCGGAGCCTAGGAAAGCTTCTCTCTCTCTCTTTTAAAATTATTTATATGGGGTGGAGGCGGCATATGTGCCATAACAAGCACATGGAGGTCAGAAGACAACCTGGCGGAATAGGTTTTCTCCTTCCACCTTTATGGGGTTTCAGGTTTTCGAAGCAAACATCTTGTGCCATCTTACCAACCACCACTTAAGAAATCCCCCAATACCATTCAATTAGGTAAACTCCAATACTTAAGTCTCACTCCCAATATCATTCAATTAGGTAAACTCCAAATATAAACATCAGCTCAGTAGAGAGAATGCTACTCTCTGGGGTGGGTCACTTGGGAGGAACACAATCTAGAGTCTTTATACTGGTGCTAAATACATTCAAGGTAAGTCTGCAATAAATTTCACTTGTTAAGAGGCTTTTCACTTATTAAGTGCCATTTGAAAACCTTCACAGAACAGATACTTAAAGTTGTATAATCAAAACCCAGAACCCAAATTACCTGTTAAATTCTTAGCAACTAAACTGGGACTAGTCCCCAGATCGATCGCCTGGCCCCCAAGACCACACTTTCCAGGAAACTACCAGTGAGTTCTTGCTGATTGCTCCTCCCAACCTCCCTAAAATCATAAAACAATGACCAAGTACTTCCTGCTCCTCAGGCAAGTGGATCCCTAGTTAATCTGCAACCGGCAAATCTTTGTTTCAGGAAGCACAGGTTAGCACTCTGTGAACTAATCAATCTTCCATGTATGGGGCTTAGGGTTCCTCCTTACTAATTAGCTATTCTCTATATTCATGAAATACTAAGGGAGCTTTTTTTGCTTCTCTATAGAACAGACAACATCTTTAAATGGTTCTTTTAAAAGATTTTTAAAATTATTATATTTATTTAGTGTGTGTGCGTGTGTATATGTGTGCGCGCATGTGTGTGCATGTGTGCCTGAATGTGCTCAAGTGCGCACACACACACTCTTGAGGTGAGAGGACAAGTTGTGAGAAGTCACTTCTTCTATGTGGGACTCAGGTCGCCAGGCTTAGTGGCAAGCACCTTTACAAGTCAACAATCAAGTTCTTTATGTAGTTACATAAATAAGCCATGTTTGTATAGTCTGTACTCTGTAAAGTTGATGACACAGTAACAGAATGTCCTTCTACTTCCTTCCTTGGACTGAGAAAATCAAAAGGTGCCGCTAATCAAAAAGACATCAAGTTGGTGAGGAAGTAATAAAGAGAATGCCTGAAATAGCTCTGACTGAATAAGGAAGAGGAAGAAGACAGGACAGCTTGGAAGGGGAGAAGGATGTAAGAGTATAATTGTTCACAAACACTAACTCTATTCAGTTTTTTTTTTTTTTGAGACAAGGTCTCTTTATGTAGCCCTGGCTGTACTGGAACTTGCTATGTAGACCAGGCTAGCCTTGAACTCACAGAGATCCGCCTGTCTCTGCCTCCTGAAGGCTGGAACTAAAGGCACACGCCCAGCTATAACTCTGTTTTTTAGACTGTGAAATGCCAAGATTCATAGGAGAAGCATTAAGGGAACCGCAACTTTTGTAACCACATGTAGAGATAAATAGCAAAACTGAATTCTTTAAATTCTTCCTAGAAAATTGCAGCAAGAAAAACCCTAAAAGTCTCTTCTTTTTTATTTTTTTATTTTCGAGACAGGGTTTCTCCGTAGCTTTTGGTTCCTGTCCTGGAACTAACTCTTTTAGACCAGGCTGGCCTCGAACTCACAGAGAGCCGCCTGCCTCTGCCTCCCGAGTGCTGGGATTAAAGGCGTGCGCCACCACCGCCCGGCAAAAGTCTCTTCTTTTAAGACAGTGCCTGGCGTCTTTATTTTCAGGCATTATAGTGTCCCACAGCACTATAGAGCGTGCCTTGCATTAACCTGAAAACAAGAACATAGCTTTGTCTCACTAGCAATGACATCTGAGTTGCCTCTTTGCTTTGTCTCTTGCCATGGAAGGCCGATTCTGTAAAAACAAGTATTAATCTTGAAACATGCAAGAAAGGTAATGGTATAAACAGGTTTTTCCACTTTCTCCCAAACCATAAAGGTACTCCACCTGGTATAGGTGTGTGATTAAATTCACTTAAAGGTGTGAAGTTAAACCCTGATGCCCCTTCTCCCAAGACACGGTGATACTCAACAGTTTAGTGACATTAGAATCTGCAACTGGAGCTTATCAGAAAGGGCAATAATTCTCAAGTGGAATTTCTCAACTTTTGTAGGTGTTCTACTTGTGAATTTATTGTCGAGAGGGGACAGAACCACTGACAGAAGAAACGGTGTTTCCCAAACTGTTCCCAGGGACTCTATATTCAGACCTCTTATTTCAGAAAGACAGATAGGTCTCCTTTCCACCATTCTCTGCTTTCCTTCAAGACAAAAACTGACCGTAGTAAAATAGTTCAAAACACTCAGAAACAAGCTGGGTGTGGAGGTATAGTCTTTAATCCTAGCGCCAGGGAAGCAGAGACCAACAAAACTCTGCGAATTAAAGGCTAGCCTGGTCTACAGTGTGAGCCCCTTAGAACAAATCAAGTGACAAATAAAAAGCCCAAGCCAACTCAGTATTGTTCCAATTTTAGTATATGTGCTGCCAAAGCAAGCAACCAACCCAACTCAGGAACACTGCAGCCAAATAAATAGTTGTGAATTTACTATATTAACAAGCTTGGGGATTAGGGGAAAAAAAGCCCTCACGCAATTCTCGTCACCAGCAGATACCAATGGACAACTGGACTGCAGAAATGGCAATTCACATCCCAAGGACAGTACTGGGCAGCGGGGGGGGGGGGGGGGGGGGGGGGGGGGGGGAGACTACGGAATGGGGACCGTGATCTTATCAATGACCGCCTACACTGCAAGAGCCTAGTTGGTTTCCCGGCTACAAACCCTCTTTTCCATCTGTCCAGCACTGCATTATCAGATTCCTATCTACAATTCCACTTACAAGGAATTTCTCAAGAAGTTTCAAGGACTCTCAACTACCTATCACATTAAGTTTAAACTCCTCAACTTTTAGTCTTCTGTAAAATATCTACCTGCTCAACTGCTTCACACGAACTGTGGTCTCCCTTTGCTAACCCTGTTTTGGAGGGAGAAGGACCCAAGCCTAATTCAATTACTTATTCTCCAATTGAAACGCAATCCCTCTATCGTCAGAGAAAAGTCACTAGTTTTCATGACATCCTTTTAGCATCAGCTTCCCCAGCAAATGGCATGCACATCCCAAGTATTTTCGAAATCACCATTCCAAACAGCTGCTCATACTTCCAGCTCCCCTTTGGTGATAGGCAAGCCGTAGTTTGCAGCTCGACATGGGAGTCCCTTGTAGGAAAGGGAGAGAGGGCTGGACAGTTTCAAGCTGTGAAGGGAAAGACTAAAGGAGGCAAAAGTGAAAGGTCTGGGCTCTGCACTTTCCGCCCGTTCTTTGGGAAGAGTGGAGAAGCGACAGCAGAGCCAAAGAGGTGAACTCCAGAGGAAGGTCAGAAGAAACCCGCGGTGCTCTCGAGGTAGGTCATATGGGGTAGGGGTCCTGGATCAAGGAAAAGAACCGTCATCCTCGGGAGAAGGGACTGGTTACAAACAACGCGAAACAAAGGGGCTGGCAGTCGCAAAGTGAGAGGATGGAATATGAGAGATCCGGGGATCTCCGGAGGGCGAACGGCAAGAACACGAAAGGGGACACGACATGTCCCTCCGAGGACCCGCCGAGGACGTGGTTGCTAAGAGGGACGAGACAGGTGCGGATGAAGGATGAGGAGCCAGCGTCTCCCCGGCTTCGCTTCTAAAGGGCGCGGGGGCGGGGAAGTGGTTTTGAGTGGGATCGCGTCCCCAAGCGAGACTCGGTTCCCAGGGCAGTGCTCTCCAAGAACGGAGGTCCGGGCCACGAGGAAACCGTTGAGGCACCGGCATTTCCCAGCCCCAGCCCGGCTTCCCCAACACACTCACCGCGTCTGCTCCAAACGCCACCTCTCCAGCTGCAGCTACCGGCCGGCGCAGCCGCACAGAGCGCGCACTGCCCACGTGACCCGCGGGCTTGATACCCACGTGACCAGCAGAGCCCGCCCCCACCCCCTCCGGGCGCTCTCCTCCGTGCGGCGTGGTCTGACCCCGCCCTCGGCAAGATGGCGGTGCCCAGATTGGGTACGCCTGGTTTCCGGGTCCTGAGTGGGACGTCGCCTCCCGGGAGACCGTTCATTCCCGGATCCAAGCAGTTTTGTTCCAGCGCTTCTACCTCTAGGCCCTTGAATGCTCAGAGATTGGCGGAGAAGCTCCGAGCCCAGAAACAAGAGCAAAAGACGAAGAAAATGCCGGTGAGCCTGGGAAGACCACAACTCCCAAGAGGCAATGCTCTCAGGATTTCCCAGGTGTGGGGTGCGGTAGGCAGGTTCTGTATCTGCCGGTAAGTCAGTGTTGGGGGGGAGGATATACAGTGTGATAGTCGGAATACCTCTGAGAAAAAAGGACAGTGCTTGCGCAGTGTCTTTGTGGGCACTTTTGCTACTGCCAGGCTCAGACCCAAGCACCACGTGGGTATGTAGGTGAGATAGATACCGATATATGGTCCCAAAGGAAGGCATGAATCTAATTCTACAACACAGCCATTCCCCGCACGAATTTTCACTTAAATCTCATTTAGGCCACCCCCAGAGCTTCGCTTCCTCATTAAGATTTTGCCGCCCTTCTCTCTCCTTAGGGCTCTACAAACCTTGTTCAGCGGAGGGTGCAGGAACTCGTGCGATTCACGCAGCAGCTACAGCGAGTTCACCCCAATGTGCTTGCTAAGGAACTGAGCCGAGGGATTCTCCACCAGGACAAGGACATTCTGGTCATTAATAAACCCTATGGTCTCCCTGTCCACGGTAAGAACCACGTGGGCAAGGGAAAGGAACCTGCTGCTGCTTCTACAGCTAACGGTACCTCTGAAGCCTTACTTACATGTGAGGCATTCTTGAATTCAAGTTAATTAAACCTTTCTACAGTATTATCCCTTGTATATGACTACTGGTAACACAAACCAGTGCCTAGTCCCCACTTCTACATATTTGACAGTGGGCTGTATGCCTCCCACAGGGATCATTGCAAAGAAATACAAACGCTGAATTCTGACTGTGGGTTGTGTGCAGCCTCCCACACAGATTGCTGCCGAGAGATACAAAAAGCCGTGCGCTGACAGTTTAATGGTTATTTTCTATCAAAACGGGGGAGAGGGAGAAAAGCTGGGTGCTAGTGTTCCACTGTCATCCCAGGTCTAGGAGAGTCTGAGGCAGGAGGATCGGATGTTCAGACCAGTCTCAGCAACTGCAAAACCTCATTTCAAAATGAGAGAGCTAGAGAAACAAGAACAAACAAAACTGGGAAAGAGGAAATAATATAAGAGGGGATGTGTTTGTGTTTAGGATTATACCTAACGTGAAACCCCAAAGTGTCAGGAACTTAATGGATGTCCTGAGTCTGTTGAATGCCGTGATGAGGGACAGCTGAAGGGAGACAGAACTGAAAAAAAGAAAAATAGGGAATATCAAAGACTTATAGGGGGAAAATAAATATTTTAGCTAAAAGTATTTTGGTTGAAATAAATAACTCCTTTGGTGGCAGTGCAGAGAAATAAAATAGGCCTTGCCAAATGCATTCTGTGATTTTTTTTCCCCCTCTTGATTTCCTAACATGTTTTTTTCCTTACTATTCTCTGATGAGGTTTTTGGTTGTTGGTGTTAATTTTTCAAAGGTATTTTTAGATAACAAAGCAGAGTTGGAAAGATAGTGCTCTATGTTCGGTCTAATGAAGAGTACAGAGAGTAAAATCTAGGAATATCTGTTCTCAGAGCCCCTCACCTTAACCTTTCTTCTATAATGGCTCAGTATAGCTTCCCAGTCCCCCAAAACCAGAAGAGAAAGCCACAATTTTGTCCAGACTTCAGTTACTTTTGAGTCCTCGGGATGCTTGTTAGAATATGAGTTCTTACTTAGTAGTCTCAACTGGGGACCTCGAGTTCATTGTCTAGCTAGTGAGTTCTCTAGGCCTATTATTGTTAGTAATCTCTGCCATGTTTTCATAGCACAACTGTAGAAAATGGGGACAATTTCTTACTCAGTAAGGATTGGTCTCTAAGAAGAGTTCCTCTGGCTCTTTGCTTCTTAGGTGGCCCTGGAGTCCAGCTCTGCATCAGTGATGTACTGCCCATCCTGGCAAAGATGCTTCGTGGCCACAAGGCAGAGCCTTTGCATCTGTGCCACCGTCTGGACAAAGAAACCACGGGTGTAATGGTGCTGGCTTGGGAGCAGGATATGGCACATCAAGTGCAGGAGTTGTTTAGAGCCCGCCAGGTGGAGAAGAAGTACTGGTATGGGCCTGTTAGTGGAATAAATGAGGGCCTCTCATTTGTCTGTCTGCTGTACTACAGGGACTAATAATGGAAGGCATTGTACTAGGACTCATGAGGATATAAAGAGTCTATGAAATAGCTTACTGCAAATATTGAATGATAAAATAGTCCGTGTCTATGTGCATGTATGTATGACTGTGTGCATGCACACCTATGTATACATGTTGAAGTCAAGTAGGATGTCAGACTTCATTCTCTATCACTCCTTATTTTATTTTACTAAGCTAGGGTATCCCTCTGAACCTGGAATTCACTGATTGGTTAGACTAGCTGAAAAGTTAGCTTCCAGGCTGTGCCTGGCTCTGCCCCCTCGAGCCCTGGGATTACAGATGTGCACTGCTGTACTGGGCTTAGCATGTCTGCTAGAGCTCCAAGCTCATTATCATGCATGTGCAACCAGCTGAGCTATCTCCTCAACCCTTTTTGTTTGTCTGGTGTTGAGATGAAGTTTTACTTTGTACCTTTGGCTGGCCTGGAACTTGCTACATAAACCAGGATGGCTTTGAACTCTCATCTTTCTCTCTCTCTCTTTCCCTCTCTCTCTACCACTCTCTCTACCTACCTATTTACCTATCATTCATCTATCTACCTACCTACCTACCTACCTATCATTCATCTGTCTATTTACCTATCTACCTACTTACCTATCATTCATCTATCTGTCTGTCTGTCTATTTACCTATCTATCTCTTTGTCTATCTACCTATCTATCTATCTACCTACCTACCTACCTATCATTCATCTGTCTGTCTATCTATCTATCTATCTATCTATCTATCTACTTCTGCTTCCCAAATGCTGGGTAGAAAGACCTGCACCATTATATCCAGTGCTGTTTTTTAAATATTTATTTATTTGTGTTTCTGTGTGTGTTTGTGTATGCATTTAGCCACATGCTTACCACTGTGCATGTGTGGAAATCAGGACAACTTGGAGTCAGTTCTCTCCTTCCATCATGTGAGCGCCAGAGGTCAAATCTTTATCTGCTGTGCCATCTCAATGGCCTCTGATTTGTTTCTTGAGACAGGGTCTCAGGTAGCCCAGGCTAACCTTGAACTGCTCATTCTCCTGCTGGGATCATCACCACACCCTGTTCCGTAGCAGTGTTTTTAGGATATATCCCTTTAAAAATAGGATTGCAGATTTGAATGATATGCATGCTTAAAATGTTTTATCATTTTTTGAAATTTATCTTTATTTCATGTGTATGTGGGGATTTTGGTTTATGCACCATAGTCATGCAGAGCCTGTGGAGGCCAGAGAAGGGCACTGGGTCCTCTGGAACTGGAATTGCAGATGGTTGTTAGCCGCCATGTGGGTGCAAGGAGTTGAATGTACATCCTCTTGAAGCCCAGTCAGTGCTCCTAACCTCTGAGCTGTCTCTCAAGCCTCGTGTGTAAAAATCTGGTAGTATTAAACTGCTGTCCTAAATAGTTGTGTCAGTTTCCACTCTCACCAGTGGTGAGTACACACACCTCAAGTTATTTTAAAAAGCCTCCCAGATAGGGCTTTTGTGTTAATTTCTGTTTGAATTTCCCTTTCTGAGAATAGACTATTTTTCCTAGGCTATTTTCCTATTGGGTTATGATTTAAATTTGATTTATAAATTTCATTCTATGCTTTAGATATACAGTCCTTTTTTGTTTTAGAAATTGTGCATTAAGTCTGTGATCAAGGGGGCCCTTTAAAAATTAGATATGGGAGGTGGGTGGTGGCAGTGCACACCTTTAATCCCAGCACTAGGGAGGTAGAGGCAGGCAGATCTCTGTGACTTCGAGATCAGCCTCTTCTACAGAGCAAGTTCCAGGACAGAAAGAAACCAAAAATTAAAGTCTCAAGAATTAAACCAAACCAAAACAAAATAAAAACAAACAAAAAACTGGTGAGGGACCTGTAGAGGTGGCTCAGGATTAAGACCACTTGCTACTTTCAGACATCTGTGTTTGGATCCCAGTACCCACAACAGGCAGCTCACAACCACCTGTAACTCGAGCTTAAGAGGACCTATCTCTGACCTCTGTGGGTACCTGCACTCATATGACAGATGTAGCATACCGAAATAAAAGTATTTTTTTTTTCTTTTGAGAATCTATTTATCTCTGGCCCATCCACAATGGTTCTCATTCATATCTAGTAGCTGTGGATTTGGCATCTGTATCTTTTAAAGTTTCCAAAAGCTTAGTGATAGAGCTAGGGCATCTAATATGCCTGAAGCCCCAAGTTTGGTCCTCGTACTAAGTATAGCAAGTTCCATAAATAACTAGAATGTGCAATCAGATTTAAGAGCTACTGGAATAGTTGGGGACGCTCCCATATGATTTTCATGATGTAGCGCCTAGCCTGACAGCTGGATACGTCTAAGCTGAAGTCTTCTAAGCTAAAGTTATACATATTGATTGTAGAATACTTTGAGAAAAAAAATTAAATGATCTTGCACCGATATGTACAGTTAAAGGAAAATTGAGGAAATAAGATTTTGTATCCCATTTCTCTTTTGATTGATTATAAATAGTCATTTGGGGTGGAGGGCAGATGGGGGTTGGGGGAGATGGGTAGAATCGAGATGCATAATGTGAAAACCACAAAGAATCAATGAAAG